TAAGTGAAAGAAACAAAAATAAGTATGACACATTTTTTATAAGACTTGTGAATTTACAGATAAGTAACTGAATTTATCCTTATATCTTTGAAACCTGATGGCGTAAACCTTAGATATTTTCCCACTAAGATTATTAGATCTAACAGAATTCATAGTTTGAAATATCAGAGGCCCACGACATTGGGTTGCGAAGGTATAAAGATTAGAAAATCATATCTCAGTTTCTTTAACTGTCTTAGCTTTGTTTGAAACTTCTACTTTTGTTACTTTCCTACTTTCCTAGTTATCACTGTTGTAATTTATAACTTTTGAATACGCGTTTATCAACAAAGCTTGATTAGAGTTTAACTAGTGTTCTTATAGATTAATTAAAATAACAGAAAGGACACTGCATGTCGTCTTCTTAAGATTTGGATGAATCTCGTTCACAATAACCCTGAGGCAGAAGCCAAGAGGAGTTTCGAGCAGTCGGCGTAGAACAGACTCTCTCTGTCTTGTAATTCTATACCGATTGCGCCAAACTCCTATGGGATGCTGTCTCAGGGTTATTGTGAACGAATTTTAATCTAAAAGTTTAACTTATTAGAGAAATGAACATTGAAATATATCATCATATATTTTCTCCGAGCTGATCATAGTTTAATACAATATCTCATTGGTTGAAGGCTTCAAGCCTCTCATTGGCTCAATCTTTTAGTTAAGACCAATAAGAGAAGGTTTAAAAATTAAATCTGTACATCTAAAAGTTTCTGGCCCGGATTACTAAATAAGTGGATTAAAATTATTTATATCTCAAAATGAATATGAATTCATATAGCGCCATTTTTCTGTGTGGACGTAAAGAGTAAAAATGAATAAACTCTAGTTTAGTGTGTGACAATGATTAAGAAATCTGAAAGTGTTTAAAGAAAATTAAGTAAATATTTAAAACTTGTTAAGTGAAGGTTAATAGCTCTTGTTTAACCCTTCAAACCCGATTTCTCGATTCAAATTGTCTATTCACTAATTAATAAATTCTCTGCATTTATAATAATTTTTTAAAATTACATTTTAGTTAATATTCACATGTAGTGGGTATTGTTATGTTTTAAATAGATCATTACTCTTTAAATTAAAGGTGTGCCCACATATATATATGTGTGTTTTTATCTTAAAAAATGGACGATTACGTCTTATCTTATTTTTAACATTTTCATGTATATCACATTTTCACTCATAAAACCCGGACTGATAGGATTAAACTCGAATCAGTAAAATATATGTAGAAAATTCCCTTTACATTAAAAGTTAATATTTACAGAAACTGTTCATTTGTATTTATAAACCCACACACAGGGTCCACACAACTTGGCAGAGGCGTATTTTAGGGGGGCTATGGGGGCTAAGCCCCCATAGGACCAGTGAAATCTATTGATTTCAGGGGTTTTTCAGGCACCAACGGGTGCTGAGCCCCCCCTGGAAAGAAAAAGATTAAGACCCCCCTACTGGACAAATTCCTGAATACGCCCCTGCACAGAGGGTCCACACAATCATCAAGATTTTTCATTACAAAATGATAAAAATTGTGAATCCTACCAGTATTTTTCTATCAAAGTATTGTTCCCCTTTTTTAATATTAATCTCCTTTCTCTATTAAAATACAATAAAAGGGACAAATTGTTATTACTGGTTTAAAAATTTTATTTAATGACCTTTTAAAACTAAAACATAGCTATCACATGGTATTTTCAAATATGTTGTCAACCACGATACCCCAAGAAGCCTGAAAAGGGTCTGTAAAAATTCCTGAAAAAGGCCTGTATAGAACCCTGAAAAAGGCCTGTATAGAACCCTGAAAAAAAACTGTATAGAACCTTGAAAAAGGACTGTTAATCTGCTTCGTCAAAAATTGACAGAATATGTAAATCTCTGTTTTGTGATTTGAGCGACCAGAGATGATTTAAATCACAGAATCTGCATTTTCTTGTTAGTCCATGTTTACATACTGCAAGAACCCCCTCCCCCCCACCCCTCTACCTGTGTATTTTAGACATGGATTTATAATTATTTTATGGAAATCGCGATTTAAATAAAACTTTCTGTATCATGGCACTGCGGATCCCGCAGAAATATGATAGAGGTTATCATGTAAATATTGCATTGTCCCTAAGAAGACGACATTTCTTACATACTCCGAATATTTCATCCTCTATGGCCTAGAAAGTGTTGATCTAAGATTCCAGTCGAAATATCTTTTTAAATCTAAATGGAAAGATAGAAAACAAAATACAGGGTGTCTCAGAAATAGTAAGGTTTACAAATAAATACAGATCGGCTGGTAATGATGCAGTTAAAAAAAAATACTGTGTCTGTTCCTAGAACTTAATACAGTAAGATCCAGAAAATCTTGCTTGTCTGTCTGTTTGTTTGTGACCAATAAACGTAAAAACGGCTGAACGGCCCAACATTTTTGAGGCAACTAATTTGACACAAGGGAAGGTTTAAGGCTGGCCGAAGTTGAAAAATGTGGAAAGGAATTGAGTTTTTGCCACAAACTCGCATTTTCTTACCTCTATATCTTTGCAACCTTATGGTGTAAACCTTTGATATTTCAAACTTAGACTATTTTATCTATCAGAATTAATAGTTTGAAATATCAAAGGTCTTGGAAAACGGGTTGCAAAGCTTTAAGAATTGGAAAATCAGAGTTTGTGGCAAAAACTCAAATCCTTTAATAGTTTTGAAAATGCACTTGAATGCAATTGAAATAGAAAAATCCGTAAAAATTTGAGAATTAAAAATGTCGATTTTCATATTTCAAAGCTATAATTGTTAATGGAAAAAGAGCACGAAGCTTCCTAAACTAAAATCCTTGATCTGAAATAGTTTGATGAACATGAGCCACAACAATTGGTCCGTTGGAAAACACATACTACTGTAGTATAGTTTAGTAAAAAACTATCTTCGTTGTGACAACATCAAATATTCTTTAATATTCCTTTATTGCCGTCTTCCTATAGCACAGTTTTCTGGTTCTCACTGTACTCCCACAGGGTGTTAACAAAATGTTTCTCAAATCTATAGTGAAAATGGGAATCTTTATAAAATAGAATGATTCGAAAAATATCTTTGGAAAATAGAAAGGATGTTGAATTGTATACGATGGCGAAAATATTGTTAAGAAATTTTACATTTATTCTTTCAAGTGTGAAATTATTTCAAGTGGAATAGAAAATATAGTTTACACATGATTAAGGCAGTCCCCGGATGTTAAGGCCTGAAAGGCCTGTGTTGCAGGTTGCCAGATTATTCAACTCTCGGAAATTCATAACGCTTCTTAACACCAAACAGAAAATTTTGACCCAAACTGAAAAGAAAAATTAATATGTAAAACCATTGTAAAACCATTGTAAAACCATTGTAAAACCATTGTAAAACCAGCTGAATTAGTTCCTTAAAAGGGCCTGATTCCCTAATAAAGGACAAATATGACAGTTTCAATAACTTAAAAATGGTGTTGAAAAAATAGAAAAACGTCTATTACTTGGAATAGATCGGATCCTAAAAGAGTTTGCTATAAAGACCATAAAAAAACCCATAAAGATTACAAAACGGCCTGTATTAAAAAGAACACTAGCTGAATAAGACGTGTAAAGAACCATAGCTGTAAAGAACCTGAACAATGCGTGTAAAGAACACTGAAAAGGCCTGTAAAGAACCCTGATTAGTACCTGTAAAAAAAACCTAAAAACGGCCTGTAAAGAACCATGAAAAGGCATGTAAAGAACCCTAAGGCCTGTAAAGAACCCTTATAGCTGAATAAGGCGTGTAAAGAACCATGAAAATAGCCTTTAAAGAACCATGAAAAAGGCATGTGAAGAACCATAAAAATGGCATAAAAAGAACCTCGAAAAAGGACTGTAAAGAACTCTGAAAAGGCCTGTTAAGAATCCTGAAAAGACCTGAAAAGAACCCTTAAAATACCTATAAAGAACCCTGAAAAAGTCCTGTAAAGAACCCTGAAAAAAATCCTGCAAAGAACCCTGATAATGTCTGTAAAGATGGAAAAAGTCCGTAAAGTAACTGAAAAAGGCCTTTAAAGATCCCTGAAATTGTTTTTGTAAAACCATGAAATGGGCTGTAGAGAACCCAAAAAAGACCTGTAAAGAAACCTGAAAAGGGCCTGTAAAGAATCTTTAAAATGTCTGTAAAGGACCCTGAAAAAGGCCTGTAAAACCCCTGAAAAACCCTGTAAAGAACCCTGATAAAGGACTGTAAAGAACCCTGAAAAGGCCTGTAAAGAACTCTGAAAAGGCCTGTAAAGAACTCTGAAAAGGTCTGTAAAACCCCTAAAAAACCCTGTGAAGAACCCTGATAAAGGACTGTAAAGAACCCTGAAAAGGCCTGTAAAGAACCCTGAAAAAGGACTGCAAAGAACCCTAAAAGGTATGTAAAGAACCTTGAAAAAGGCCTGTAAAGAACCCTGAAAAGGTCTGTAAAGAATCCTGAAAAAGCCTGTAAAGAACCCTAAAAAAGGCCTGTAAAGAACCCTGAAAAGGCTTGTAAAGAATCCTGAAAAGGCCTGTAAAGAACCCTGAAAAAGACCTTAAAGAACTCTGATAAGGTCTGTAAAGAACTCTGATAAGGTCTGTAAAGAAGCCTGAAAAGGGTCTGTAAAAATTCCTGAAAAAGGCCTGTATAGAACCCTGAAAAAGGACTGTAAAGAACCATGAAAAGGACTGTAAAGAACCCTGAAAAAGGCCTGTATAGAACCCTGAAAAAGGACTATAAAGAACCCTGAAAAAGGCCTGTATAGAACCCTGAAAAAGGCCTGTATAGAACCCTGAAAAAGGCCTGTATAGAACCCTGAAAAAAAACTGTATAGAACCTTGAAAAAGGACTGTTAAGAACCCTGAAAAAGGCCTGTATAGAACCCTGAAAAGGCCTGGTGTAGGCCCTGTCCTTGCAGTTTTCCTTCTGCCTTGAATGTTCCAGCTCCTACCCCCTGTAGTATCCGAGAATAGACCGCGGAGATGATCCGTCCGTCAGTTCTAGTAAGTACCCGGAGCAGAGAGGATACAGAACCCTGAACCCTGAACTACGCTTCGATAATTCTACTCTAATTATAGAAATAAAATAAATGATGGTGATATTTGTGGACAGTTTGAAACTGTAGTTATATATATTAGAGACAACATAATTCCTGTATCAAGCTTGGCTGGATAAACAAGAAAATTACTGAGAGAGTTTAACGAGCGGAAGAATGGCATCGTATTGTTTATCTGAATAAAGATAAAGTTGTGAATATTCAGTGATTAAAATCTATCTAAGTTCAAGATGCAAAGAGGCAACATTTTTCTAGTTTTGACACAGGTAGGAATACATTTTCAAGTATTTTTTATATCAATAAGTGGTTTAAGATTTAATCATTATTCACATTTTTGATAACATTTTTATTAATAAAGATAAAAAATACCTGTTTCTAACACGAAAACTGATACTGAAAACAAAACACTTATACTTTAATTAAGTCATTTAATAATGAGTCATTTTTCTTATCGACATTTATACATACTAGGCTTTTAGGGCGCTTTGCGCCCATCTTCTATTTAAATTAGGAACATGTTCTTTTTGTTTACATTTTAGAACAAAGAAGAAAAAATTATGCGGATTTTTAAAAAAAAATTCGCGGTTTTTCAAGAATTTAAATTTTTTCACAAAATTAAAAACCTTTAAAATACATTTTTTAATTTTTATCATTTATAAACCTTCCCTGTGGTCACGTGATGTCCCACAAAAAATTTGGGCCCGATCGGTTCAGCCGTTTTGACGTTTATTGGATACAAAAAGAAAACACCCAGACAAGCCAAATTTATATATAAATTGAATTACATCTTATCAATGTTTTCTACTACTCACTGCTGTCCTTATGATTAAGCAAACAACATCCCGCTCTGAGAAGTTTTCATAAATAATTTGCGGATTTTCATTTTCTGACTATACAATATTCAGTCTTTTACTTTACTGACTATTTTACTTTTAAAAATCATCGAACTTTAACATCTTGCACAAGTAAATTCTTTGCGATGCATTTTTAAGCTTTTAAAATAATTTGACTAATTCTGGGTTCAACAAAGGATTTGAAACGAATGCAGTTCACAAGCTGGTGGTTCACGTAGAATAATATATCTCTTCCGGATTCAATTTTTCATATCTTCGTGTAGTTTGATCATGGTTTTATTGCGACTCCGTGTACCAATATATATAAGCTGGAATTGCTCCGTGTATAAATATACCAAGATACGGTGGAACCAAGTTTCCTGAACTTGAAACCGTGATCAGGAAGGATCAGAGATATATAAAACTCTAAAGAGCAGGCCTGCAAATCAAATCTAACCTAACTAACCCAAACCAAATTTAACTGAACCTAACCAACCAAACAATTTTGATAAAACTGAACCAAATCCGACCAAACCTAATCTAACCTAACCAAACCTAACAAAACCCGAGCAAACCAGACCAAACCAGACCAAACCAGACGAAACTTAATCAAACATAATCAAACCTAATCTAAAATAATCAAACCTAATCTAACATAATCAAACTTAATCTAACATAATCTAACATAATCAAACTTAATCAAACCTAATGAAATAATCACACCTGACTAAAACCGGTACAATCAGACCAAATTAAACCTTGTCCAATAAGTTCTTTTTAATCCAGATCAAAATTACGAGAACAAATAATAATATTACCACAACCTATTGGAAATTTTAAATTTTTTTCCCAACCTGACTTTACTCCCAAGTCTTTTTTAACCTATTCAAGTCTTTTCACCTTGTAATGCCCATTTCAAGTCTAAATTAAGCCATTTTCTAACTTATCCCAACCTTCTTCATGGATAGATAAAAAAGAAAGAATAATAAAAAGAATTTTATGACTAATATCAGGGTTTAAATATAATTTTTCTATGTTGTGGCAGGTTACTTAAAGAGAACATTTGCCAGAATTTGAATTTGAATTTGTGGCAAGAACCTTTTTTAATCTTTTTCCGATTCATTCTGAAAAAAATACAAATTGTAAACTGTTCCTTTATAGATGGATCTGACCGGAAATGGGTTTCAATATTTTATGTCGGGTTTTCCCTCCCCCACGTTCCATCACCCCCC